CCAAACCCAACCCCAATCCCAACCCCAACCGGAGTATGGTACTGCTAGGGTGGTGGAGCGAACCAGTGCACGACCTCCTCCTCCTCGCGATACCTCCAAACCGGTCACACGCAAGGCGCCACCCAAGCTCGAGTTGTCGACGCTGACGGCCAAGTTGCAGGATCTGGAGAAGCAGAGTAATGTCTCGAGCTCGTCGGGGCACAGTCGACGACTACCTGCCGAGGCGAGTATCTCTCGCTCGGCTGCATCGTCGGCGTCTGCCAACGGCACTTTTGGTGGAAGTGGATCAGGGTCTGATCTGGAGGCAGGTTTACCGGGCGCGTTTCCGGAACGATCCAAGTCGCTCGCAAGAGCTCGTAGCGTCAAACCGCTCATCCTGTCTACGGAGCGAGTGGGAGGGTATCGTCATCGCCATCCCGACGCACACCGCTCCCGAACCCAAGTTCGACCGACCAAACCGCTCGAACGCAAGTCCACCGTCGCCCTAGCCTCCCCGACTCGCTTCAGCCACGACAAGAACCCCGCACTCGTGGTACACCCCGAAAAGCCCCAGGCCGCTTTCCGTCCGCTACCCGTTCCTCCCCCCTTCACCCTCCCCAAATAAGCCAATGTAGAAGACCCTTCACCTTCACTTGAAGCACGCGTTGAAATACAGAGACCAGTTGGAATTGACACGCGCGCGTGCATGGCGACTATGCAATCGATGCAAAGTCGAATGTGGTGCCTTTGGATGCGCCGCTGGGATAGCGGTGCTGCGATGCGGCCGACGCATTGAACGCGCGTGGCGGCGGAAAGTTGGTGCTGGGCGAGAAGCTGAGCGAGCCCGAGGTGAGTGGGGGCGACGGCACCCTGCTGATCGCTGCGGCGGGCGACGGACCGTTGGGCCGCGCGAGCGTCGAGCTGGCCGTGCGCACGGGCGGGGCAGCAACGGGCGGTGGCGGTGCACGCACGGGCGGCGCAGCGCTCGGCGGCGGCGGCACGCGGCTCGGCGGAGGTGCACGACCCGGAGGCGCGGGCGGTGCAGATGCCGGCGACGCAGGCGCACGTCCAGGCGGAGGAGGCGGCGGGGGCGCAGA